CATGGGAATGGGGTGCTCCTTTGGGGGGCCCTGTCATGGGAACGGGGTGCTCCTTTGGGGGCCCTGTCATGGGAATGGGGTGCTCCATCCTCTAGGAGATCCCTGCTATGGGAACGGGTTGCTCCTTTGGGGAGCCCTGCCATGGGAACGGGGTGCTCCTTTTGGGGACCCTGTCATGGGAACGGGTGCTCCTTTGGGGGCCCTGTCATGGGAACGGGTGCTCCTTTTGGGGACCCTGTCATGGGAACAGGGTGCTCCTTTGGGGGGCCCCCCCATGGGAACGGGGTGCTCCTTTGTGGGGCCCTGCCATGGGAACGGGGTGCTCCATCCTCTAGGGGATCCTGTCATGGGAACGGGGTGCTCCTTTGGGGAGCCCTGTCATGGGAATGGGGTGCTCCTTCCTCCTGGGGGGCCCTGTCATGGGAACGGGGTGCTCCATCCTCTAGGAGATCCCTGCCATGGGAATGGGGTGCTCCTTCCTCTGGGGGTCCCTGCCATGGGAATGGGGTGCTCCTGTCACTGATACTGTGGGAAAAACAAAATTTTTTTGTGTATTTTCTACAAATTGCATCTGAGATTCCCTGCCATGGGAATGGGGTGCTCCTTCTGTCACTGAAATTGTGGGAAAAACAAAAATTTTTTGTATATTTTCTAACAATTCCTCCTGGGATCCCCTGCCATGGAAACAAGTGCTCCATCCTCTGAGGTTCCCTGCCATGAGGGAATCACATAATTCATGCTCCTACCTTTTTCCAACTCCCCTGTTCCCTGCTGGGCTGCCCATGGAGGCTGCTGGTGCAGGCAGGCTGTGAGGTTTGGGGGACAGGGTGGTTTCAGGGGGTGCAAATGCCTTTCTAGTGGCCAGTAGGGCTTGGAAACACAAAGAACATGTTGGAAGCTCAGAGAATTTTGGCTGCCCCATCTCTGGAAATGCCCAAGGCCAGGCTGGACAGGGCTTGGAGCACCCTGGGGTAGTGGGAACACCCTGCCCATGGCTGGGGATTGGAGCAAAACCTTTAAGGTCCCTTCTAACCCAAACAATTCCATGGTTCTGTGAAGCTCCATGCTTTTAGATTATTGAATATTCCTGAATAAYCCTCAATATTCCATGCTGATTGCCATGAAAGCTTCATGGTTTGCCAGATGCCAGCAAGCAGAGGTGCTTAAGGCCTAAGGGCTCTTAAATTGCTGTAATTACACAATTAAAACAGGATTTTTCTCTGCTCTGACACGCTGATAATCATCCTGGCGTGTTCACCTGCACTGAGGGCAGGCCCATTGCACTCTGAGTTTATCCAGCAGGAGCTCAGGCAGGCAGGGTGGGGTGAACCAGAGCTGATGTGGGTGGGACATCATGGAGAGACAAGGGAGGAGGGGGCTGGGTGTGGGGTGAACAAGGTCAGTGATTCAGTGATCACCTCTGGTAATGTTCCTTCCCAATATCCCATCCATCCCTGCCCTCTGGCAGTKTGACCCCATTCCCTGTGTCCTGTCCCTCCATCCCTTGTCCCCAGTCCCTCTCCAGCTCTCCTGGAGCCCCTTCAGGCCCTGCAAGGGGCTCTGAGCTCTCCCTGGAGTTTTCCCTTTTCCAGGTGAGCACCCCCAGCCTGGCTCCAGCCCTGGAGCAGCTCCGTGGCCTCTCTGGTCTCTCTCCAGCAGCTCCTCCTGGTGCTGGGAGCCCCAGAGCTGGGGCAGAGCTCCAGGGCAGAACCCCCTCCCCTCCTCCTGCTGCAACCCAGAGCAGCTCCAAGAACCAAACCCCCTCGGCTCAGTTCTGTCCCCAGGCAGCCTCAGCACCCCCAGGGAGCAGAGCAGGGTGATCTGTGCCCCCCGAGCCCCGCTGTGAGCACGGTTCCCTTGCAGGAGGTGTACGTGGGCAAGGAGACCATGTGCACGGTGGACGGGCTGCACTTCAACAGCACCTACAGCGCCCGTGTCAAGGCCTTCAACAAATCGGGAGTCAGCCCCTACAGCAAGACCCTGGTGCTGCAGACCTCGGAGGGTAAGGAAATGCTGTGGGGTTGGGGTTGGGACCGGTGTGCTCAGGGCACAGCTCAGGGCACAGCTCAGGGCACAGCTCAGGGCACAGCTCAGGACACAGCTCAGGGACACAGCTCAGGGCACAGCTCAGGGCACTGCTCAGGGCACAGCTCAAGACACAGCTCAGGACACAGCTCAGACACAGCTCAGACACAGCTCAGGGCACAGCTCAGGGCACACCTCAGGACACAGCTCAGAACACAGCTCAGGACACAGCTCAGGGACACAGCTCAGGACACAGCTCAGGACACAGCTCAGGACACAGCTCAGACACAGCTCAGGCACAGCTCAGGACACAGCTCAGGACACAGCTCAGGGACACAGCTCAGGGACACAGCTCAGGACACAGCTCAGGGACACAGCTCAGACACAGCTCAGGCACAGCTCAGGACACAGCTCAGGACACAGCTCAGGACACAGCTCAGACACAGCTCGGGACACAGCTCGGGACACAGCTCGGGACACAGTTCAGGGCACAGCTCAGGCACAGCTCAGGGCACAGCTCAGGGCACAGCTCAGACACAGCTCAGGGCACAGCTCAGGGCACAGCTCAGGACACAGCTCAGG